AGAGTCGAGTGATCAGCTGTCATCTAAAATGTATGTATATGGCATTACAAAGAACAGATTAGAAATATATTTTGAGCTTTCACAATACTGACTCACCCTAGTGTATTGCAAGAACTAGATTTTATCATTTATACAAGAGGGGGGAGGGTCATTTTAGGCCAAGGTCAAGGGGAGGGTTAGCAAATTTCACTCCCATTGCAGGGATGAGTCACCTCATTTCCGAACCCAAATTTAAAATTCCTACCCCCCCCCCCCCCCCTGCTTATTTCTGACAAGTCCCTTATCAAGAATTTCTGAAAGCAAACTTCCCTAGCGCTCCTTGGCTTCTGTCATTTGTATTGTTTTGATACGGCGCAATCCAGCGTGGTTTCGCTTAAAAATAAAGGCACGTGGACCATTTACGCAGGGGCGGATCCAGGAATTTTTTTTAGGAGGGGTGCACCCGTCTCTTGCTCTACTTCAACACCAATAAACCACATAGTTTTTTTTTTTTGCAGAATACCAGTTATATTAGAAAACCGCAGATCATCTCGGGTGGGGTGGGTGCGCACCCCCCGCACCCTCCCCCTAGATCCGCCCCTCGTAGCCTAAAAGACGTTTAACAGGGTTTGCGAGCCAACTGAAATAACGATTTAATAATCGCATTCCGGTTCACGTGCCTTTGCGTGAGTTTGAACTGAAATACCTGATTGACAGCCAGCCCTGTGATTGGACACATTTTGACAGCTCATCAACTTTGTTTTGACCTCGGCCTTCAGTGAAAGAAGGGAACGGACGCTAGGAAAAGTGTTGAAGCATTTTCGGCGCGATTAACGAAAATTTTCCAACAGCGCGCGAGGGAGAGGCACGTTAAACTCAATCGAAGCATCAACAATTGTTTGCAAAAGCTTGCCTACCGCGGATCAATGCACTTTTTCTTCAGCGAGTTTCTTACTCTATGTGGTTTGAAATAACCGTATTATCAAGTTCTTACTGGAGTGGACTGGCATACGCTTTTTGTGCAGCACGTTTATTGCTTCTCCTCATGAAGACAATCCGATAATCATCCCTTCGTTAGACGTTCGAAGAGAATTACTTGTGTGAAGGCTTTTGGTGAAACTCAAACTCTTTATTTAAGCCTAAGTCTTAAAATTATTAGCAGCCGGATTTATTGCAAGAACTGAAGAAAAACCTGGAGTATGTATAAAGCTTAAATCAGGGAGCAAGATCTATACTACTTGACACTGAACTATGATTCAAGAAATCAAAGAGACAGTTGCCGTTTAAATAGAGTTTAAAGGCCATGACTTTTCACAAAAGTTTTATAATTCTGCAGTTGCTGAACGCTGGGGAACATCGACTTAGGTGAGTTAGTTTTCTTCTGAATTTTAGCGCCTTATCTTGACTTTTTAGTCAAAGAGATGATTCTAGATCGTTAATTTTCTTTTAACGTTAATTAAACAGGTAGCAATTTACAGGCACTCAGTTTTGTTTGTGTTATTTACTCTGCTTGACTGATTCCCGCGAAAACACCGATTCGGCGCTAAAACTTTGATGATTTGGTTCTCAAATCTGTCTGCAATCTGCGTGTGTTTTTCAACTCGCTGCCGCGGTAAAAGTTTTCAACAAGAAAGAGAAAGCACTGTAGTCTTTTTCATTAGTTATTATTCCGTACAACCTGATGAGAGTTCTTTTGCCTTTTCTTTAAATCATACCACATGTGATGAGGGAGAGAAATCTCACGCGTAGCGTAACAACCGGCATAGTTGATTTCAGTTTGCACAGGCTTTGTAGACCGTATTCCAAGTACTCTTCGATCTTTTTTAAAAAAAGTACAGTGTATGGCAAAGTGTTGTTAGGATAAATTACATCCTAAAAAGGTTTCTTATGGTGATTATCAAATTGAAGATTATTTTTGCGAACGAACGGCAGTGAAAAAATTGATCTTTCATGCCGCGCGGCCGGGGATAATATTTTTCTGCATAAGTGAAAGTTGTTCTCAAAACGCACAAGTACTGTTTTCTAAAAGAATTTCTGAACGGTTTAGTGAGTCAAATATTAAACAATAACAGAACAGATTTTACTTAAAATGATGTGCATTTTTGTCCCGCAGACGATATTAGCGTGTTTTTTTTCCAGATCAGACTGTATGCTATCAAATTTCAAACTGTAGTAAACTTATCAACGCTCAGTACAGTGCGTATAAAAGCTGTCTTGTAAGAAATCCATATTATTACGGCTTTGTCTGGCCGTGAATATGAATCTTTTTTTCGAAAATATATTTTTTTAATTCAAGTTTTCGTTCTGGAAAATGCTGAAGGTAATTTTCTCCATGATTCTGCGAGTCGTGTTCTCAGGTTTCAATTGCGTGAACGAGCTCTTCTCAGGATCTGATCATGGCACTTTAATAATTGGGTTCAAATGACTGGGTTGGTTTGTCGTCATGCAGTCTGGTTGAATATATTTCTCTGTAGTTTGTAGAAAATGTTCTCTTTCCAATCGAATTGGAAGCTTTCAGCTAGTATTTTACCATGAGATGAAAGACAGATAAAATTGCCGCTTGCGCTCGTGTTATTGCAGACAAAAAAAAGGCAAGCTCGTGAGGAATCTGATCGATATTTATTTTCAGATTTTGAGTCTAGAGAGGTATCTCACCCGTTTGTTTCAAAAAAGAACACGGTCGGTTTTCTCTTTTCTGGCTGAATGTCAACATATAATTTGTTGATGCTGCAATCGCTCTGAACACGGACTGTTTCTTCAGGTTTCTTGAACCCTGCCGAAATATATGGACCGCTTTGGGTGAGGAAGGAAAAATTCCAGAAACAAAGCTGTCCCCCTGGCATTAAAAATATAGTGAAAGCTTTTGAGTTGAACTAAAATTGAAAACCATTATTTTGTCCGGGAATGTGGTCAACATTAATAATAAAATTTCTCACGGCAAGTGTAATTCACGCCAGTGTTTACCAACAACGCAAATTGTCAAAGATTTAAGCAAGAAAAAGAGAGTTATTCTGCACTAATTCATTGTCGTTACATGTGGGAAGGATTAAGATGTCTCTCTCCAAGTTAAAAATCAAAGGAAGAATAATTTAAACTGAAAAACGTGGATTAACATTTCACTTTTTATATCGGTTATCATAATTTCGTGCACAACAAACTCACCGAGTCCGCCCGCTCGCGATGTTAGTCTATCGCAAAAATAGAGCGAAAGAAACTAGCTTTCTTAGACAAAAAATCGATCAAAAAAGAAGCTGAATGGAAACTTTGACCTCTCAAAAAGTTTTGTGCGATGTATTTTTGTGAAAACAGCGACCTTGAAAAAAAGACTTTGAGTTTGTTTTCTTTTCTGTAATGGCGGCCGTTAGCTTTTGAGTTAGCTTTACTGGAGAAATTGACAACCTTACGATTAATAAGTACAAAGCGTGCCAAACATAGTTAATAATCGTAAATTTCACGATTATTAACTACGAAGCCTGTCAAACGTAGTTATTAATCGTGAATTTCACGATTATTAACTATGTTTGACATAATTATTAATCGTAAATGACGTCCTTTACGATTAATAACTACAAAGTACCGCTCTTTACGATTAATAAGTACAAAGCCTGCCTTTTGTAGTTATTACCTGGCAGATTTGACTGCAAAAAAATAAAAACACTACAAAAAAATAGTGACACCTGTTATAAACCATTAGAGTTTTGGATGGTACAATTTATGAAAGAAGAATCAATTGTCATTTAAATGTGGAACAATAATACGGTGGTCACTCAGAATGACACATAGGCTTCAAGATCTGGCAAGTGCCGTCACTCGCAAAATGAGCCAAAATTAAGATCTCACAATATTACTGAACCATATTTATAAAGCATATGAGTTTTGGACGGTACAATTTATGAAAGAAGAATCAATTGTCATTTAAATGTGGAACAATCACAGGACGAAATAACGTGTTTCCGTATTTTGTAAACTCGACGGAAACGGGAAGTTGCTTATATCCGTCACGTTTCCGCCCTGCGGAAACATGGTGATCTAGTTTTCCATGGACGGGACGCGTTTCCGTCATGTTTCCGCGTCGGAAACGAACGATCATGTTTCCGCCACATTTCTGTCATCACATTTCCGTTCTTTCTTGTTTCCGTTACGTTTCAGGTGACGAAATATTTTCTTTTTTTTTTAACCCATGTCCAAGATCGCATGATCAATGTTTCGTAAACTTTGCCTTGGCGTACAATCAAGGTGAATAAAGGTAAATTTACTCTCGAGATTAAACGGTTCTCATGCATTACTCGCGTGCGTTGCATTGATGCAAAGACTGTGAAGTGTGCGAGGTTGCCATTGCTTTCCATTCTAAGTGATAAAAATCGCAGAGCTTACCAACAGCTTTCAATATTTGCCAAATTGATGTCAATCAGTACTAGTACTGACGTAAAACTAAAATGCTCTTAGACCGAGAAAACAAGAGAGAAAACAAGAGAGATTGGGGCCTAGAACAGAAGGGCCGCAAAAAATTTTTTTGAGACTATATAAGGTTTAGTTATAATCTGTAAAAATTCTTATTATTTTTACCTCCTGTCATTTGTTTCCTTGTCTTCATCCTCTGTTTCTGTATCCCCTCCGCTTTCACTAAAGAACTCTGCATCACTGGAAAAGTCAGGTTCTTCCTCTATCGTTTCAGTGTCATCCTCTTCTTCAATATCTTTTTCTTCACTGATACATGTATCTTGGTTGCTAGTGTCACAAGACTCCTTACTCTTTACATTTTCTTCTAACCCGTTGTTTGCAGCCTCCTGAAGTTTTCGAGTCAACAACTCAACTAATAAAAAAAGTGTGGATGTCAATAATAATAATTATAAAAATAAAATTCCCTCAGCAAAGAATGGGTTTGAGGAACAAAAACCTCAAAATTAAATCTCTAAGATTATGTGATCATACAAATAACACATACATGTAAATAGGGCATCACATGGCTGAAGCTTACCTTTACGCTTTAGCTGCCTTTTTTTGTCTTTTGATGTCTTCAGGGATTGTCGCACTGCACTAAGCTGGCCTTTTAAAAGTTCCATTTCATGGCTGAGGATACTACATCTCTGATCTGCCAGTGTCTGTGTTGATTTATCCTGCATTATAAAATTAAAAAAACTATGGTTTATCTTTTAAAATAAATACCAAGAATATCATCCTGTACGAAAGAAATGAACACTTATTATTATTATTATTATTATCATTATTATTATCATTATTACTATCATCATCATCAACATCTAATCATTATTATTATTATGTTTATAATTACAAAACAGGATACATACCACTTGTGTAAAAGGTTCGCTCTCTTCTGCATCTTGGACATAACAAAAGTCTTTGTTTATCTACAAAAAAAAACAAAACCAAATTGGTCACTTCCATCATGATCTGGTAGCATAATGAAATGGAAAGTTACATGACTGTAAATGAATATTTCTTTGCAGTAAGGAATGTACCATGTTCGTGCTACATGTAGCTTCAGGCTCCAATCCAGATTCCTCTTGAAAGCCACCATTACATGTCCCATGTTGGCCCTGTGAAAACCAATGACAATAATTTTTTAAAGTTTCACATCAGACATCAATCACTCATCTTTTTTGCTGCTATACTAATCTTGCATCATTCACCCCAGTGTTTACCAAAGGATATGAACCTCTGATCACAGGATTTTCTTTGGTAAGCGTTGCTTTGGATTTCAGTCGTACTACTACTAGTAATGTCCTAATCAGGAATATCAATAACAAGTTATTAATTGACAAGGAATTAGTCATGACCATTCATTGCACTCAAACTATAAAAGATTACACAGCATCTCACCTCCTCCGATTGACTACTTGTAGAGGAGTTGATCTGGATATCTTGTGAGTTTTCAGCTTGTACGGTTTGTGCCTGCAAATATTCAATAGTACACAACATAAGAGCTTACACAAGCACACCCAAGTATACCCTGCAGTCGAAATTCTTACCGCCTGAATGCCTGTGGAAGGATAAACAATGCTTGTCGCTTCTGGTTCTTGCAGTGTTTTGAGGCGAGCCTTCGCAGATCTAGCAATCTGTGAAAAACAGCAAAACAATTGTGTTTTCTTTAACTTTCATGGTACGGGTACCAATTATTAATCACAGAAAGAAAAATCACATGAAATGTCTCGAGCAGGTGTGACAATACTTTCTTACCATTCGCGCTTCCCTTCTCTTTTTAGATGGCGGCTCGTCATCTTCTCCTTTCCGTTTAGCGTGTATTGATGGGAAAACACAAACCCCAATTTCATCTTTCTTTAAATCCCGCTTTAAGTTGACTTCTTTGTTTAACGGCCTTTGAAAGTCGTCTGGAGCAAAGTGAACGGAACACAACGAGGAGGTCTTCCCCGGCACCCACATCTTCCTCCTCTCCAATACGAAGTCGACCCACTTCTTTCGCCTTTTCTTTTTAATCGGACACACGTCGCCGAAGAATGGAATTTTATGCATGGATATATTCCTAGCTGGGTCCTTTACGTTGCCACAACGCGCTGCAACGCATCTCTCAGGCATTATAACTCTCGGCTTGGGAAGAAGAGATGTAACAGGCCGAACTGATACAAGTTCCTGAAGCTACGTCATCATACGTCATGGATACTATCCGGCCGAGAGGAGACTAATACGAATGGTGGACCAAAATGGCGGCAAATTTCGAAGACTTTAAAAAATCATAAAAAAATCATGTTTTGTTCAAATCGCAAAATTCTTTCGCAGAAGTTCCTCTTTCAACGTGTACTTTCAGTTAAGAAAAGAAAATTTTTTAGGTTATGGGCACTTTAATTAAAGGTAATGTATTTCTCTACTTTTATTTAATACCAGACAGACTGGCCTACCACAATTATAATTGTTGCATTTAATTGTAATTACTTGTGAGTAGTGTCTATAATTTTAAAAAAATAATAACAAATTTGGCTTCAACAGAACTGTAATAATTCCCTTGCAGTAATGCATGTTGCCTATAAAAATAAAGACTATAGATTACAGCAAAGACAATGTTAATTTTCTGACCTGGGAATTTGCTCTATAACCATGCAAATTATATACCCTTATAAATATATACCTAGCTATAGGCATATTATTTATGATAATTCTAATAAAATATTTTTAATCTGTAGGACAACTAAAAAGACAATTCAAGTGGAGTGACGAGGAGTTGGAGAAGAACTGGGGAGGAAAGACTGGTGTCCAGCAAAAAATTGCTGATAAGTGCAGAAACTTAAATAAAGCCAGCAACAAGAAAAACTGATGAAATTAACATTATTTTTCATATATTTCTACCATTTATACATGTATAATCAACTGGGTTTTTTTTTCAAAAGATTTAATCACCTATTTGAATGTTCTGCAATGACTGAATATTGTATATGTAGACTTATTAAAGTTGCATTTTATTCAAGACTTACATGTATATTAACTCTATTTTCCTAATAAATTTGCAGATTAAGTTAAAAATATGGTGCAGAAGTTATATGTCTTCAAATCGCTATACGATAAATATCAATTTCCTGTGTATCATGACGAGCTTTGAAGCGCGAAAAAATTTTATGCAAATTAGCTGGCTGCACATTGAATGTGCAGCCAGCTAATTTGCATAAGTAATTCAAAACCAAGGTCTGACAGCTCTAGGCTCTTGAGGTGTTAGCTGAATACCCTAGGACTTCCGTAAATTGCCCACAAAAGAGTAACTCAAGCTACCATAAAGTGAAATGAAAGTAACCGCAATATCCGATTAAAGCAAGGTTTAAATCTTTTTCTGCTCGGCTAACCCTCTTCCGAGGCACTTACTATTTTGGTAATAATAAAACGCCATAAACATTTTACATTGCGCCTTTTTCAGTCTCGGGCAGTAAGTTATAGTATGAAATGGAGGTAAACTCAAAAATTCAGTTTTGTAATACAGGTTAATACTATGCAACGCAGATAACAAAAGCTCAGGAAACAAGGGGACCCTGCATGACCCAGGGAGGCTACTTGTCTGCGAAATTTTTTTGAGAAAAGAGCTGACTCTCTCGAGTGTTGAACTAGAATAGAATAATCCAGAATTATAATTTTAAACATCAATTGCTACTGATATAATTATTAAGTTTTCTTACCTGTCTGGAGTCTCTTCCACTGGTGTCAATGATCTGGGCGCCAAACAAACGCGCGCGGTACATATTTCCCGCCACAAATAATTAAAAGCACTTTCATGAGACGGTGATCAAAATGCAAAAGCAAAATAGGAAAGCCGGCGCCAAATTGCTAGAGGCTAGCGATCGTTTGTTGGGCGGCGTGTGATAGAGTGAAACTGATAAAATATCGAGAAATCTGGACAGAATCTTTTTGTAATACATTATCAAAAATTATGTGAAACACATCATCAGAGAACACGTGCGAAAAAAATAATTTCTGCTCGATATTTTTCTCGGTATTTTTCATCGACAAAAAACCGAAACATTAAAAATCACGACTTACCATCAATTACTCGGCTAAACAAAGCTAAACTTACCAAAGTCGATAACCAAGTAAGGATTTCCTACAGAAATAATTTGCCGCTCTCGTTTAGCAGTGTAGTGGTCGAACTTGACGTAGGTTAAAACGGATTCGTTTTGCCGGCATCTTCCCGTTAAATTAAAGTAGATTTAACACTTGCCAGGGGAAATTAGAAATCTAGCCATTTTGCTCATAGCTTCGCAAATGCAACCAGCGTTATGCAGTAAAGCGACAGAAACGCGACAGTCGCGACAACCTCAGTAAATCTAACAAATGAAACAAGATACTAAGAGAAAAAAAGGGCTTCATTGATTGTTTCCGGCAGGCGGTGACAAGTAATGTACGAGATTAGAAGACCTCCTGGTCAGAATTTTTTTTGTAGCCTAAGCCCGTCATGCAAGGTGGGATAGCAGGATCCCTTCAATTTAACAACCTGCATTCGATGCTGCCAGGAAAGGTGGGATATCTTTGATCCCACCCAGGATTTCAGGCGGGTTTCCGGGTGGGATTGGCGGGATTTTTACAAATCCCAGGTGGGATGGTTTCTTGGACCCCACCCAGGATTTCAGGTGGGATCCCAGGTGGGATTGGTGGGATCCTACCTGGGATCCCTCCCGGGACGTTCCATAATCCCGGGCGGGATCCCAGGAGGGATCCCGCCTATTTCTGGCGGGATCCCACCTGGGATTAACCTGGGATCCCAGGTGGGATTGGCGGGATCCCGCCTCACATTTTTACCTGGGAGTGTGTTAATTATTGATCTAGTGTGAAAGCAGCCAAGGCGATGTAAAATCCTGCTTCTTTTATTATTTCCATTTCAGAGTTAAATTCTAAAATAAACATTTTCTGTGAAAATGTCAATACATTTATTTTGTTTACCAAGGAAAAAGTCTTTAAATCTGCAAGTTGAAATCATCTTGGGAATCATCTCAGTTATTACTCTTCACTCCTTCATTGGCCTCAATTATAGCATATTCTGAATCCAGCACTTGTCAGATTTCCCTGGCTTGTTGACTTGACTCAGTTTTCATATTTGATTTTTTTTCAATATAATTTGGTTTGTTTCGATTTTGTTCAGGCATCAAACTCTCCAGAAAGCTGGTTTGATATTGTTTGATAGCCAAACTGTTTCGTTTGGGCGAGTTTGATGGGGATTTTGTTTTGCGTAATACATTGTACACTGGAAGTATACATTTACTGCAGTAAATTATCTGCTTCCCACCAGGGTTATCGCTTTACAAGTTATGAGAACATTTCTTCCACCCAGACCTTGTTACTTTCCCCTGCCTCCCCTGGTATTGACCCTGTACGTGTAGATGATAATATGCAACCTGAGGGAGGTTGTGCCCTTGAAAAGTAGGCTTTTTGTTACTGGTACTGGTAATCATAGACAGCCTCTGTTTACATTTACATGTACATGTAACCCCTGGTCCATAGTCTTAACGTTGCAGGTTGCGGGCAACATAATGTACTAGCTATTACTATGAAACGCAACTGTATGCATGTAAATGTAATTTGATGAATCAGGGTTGTCAGAAAGTTTTGAAGTAGACAGCTGAGTTGTCAAAATAAGCGGCCAGTAAATTATATGTATATTACTCATTATTTTAGTATGTTCTATTCGTATGAGAATATCTACATTAGTAAAGTTGTCTTACTGCTAAAAGGTTTTCCCTCCCTCCCCGCCCCTCCCCGATAGCCTGAGGAATAGCTTCTGTGTTCTACTTATTAGCACTTTGTTTTGTTTTTCATACAACAGGCAGATCACCTTGGTATGTGATGTTGGTGCAGAACGTTCTCTCAAAGCAAGCAGGCTGGATCATGGAACTTAATTTCAGTCTCAAGTTACTGGGCTTTATGCTTAGTCAAGTTCTGCAAATGTTAATCTTGAAATACTACTTCTATGCTAAAGAAAAAAATGTCCAACTGCTACCTTGAGTGGGCAAGATGAAGCAAACCTTGCATTCTAATTGGCTACCCAAGGGGGCAAGGTGAGCTCATTTTGCCCACTTGGGATTTCCTGCATTGGTCCCGCAAGTAAAATGTCTCTTCTTGGCCATGTAATAATTCATTTATTGACCAAGCTTGTCCATTCAAGATGGCTGAATATTGACCTCATTCATTTTTGCATTGTTATTGACCAAGACCAGGCTGTGCTCTGTGGCCCGTTGTGCCTACATCTGTAACTTTTGTTCTCAGGCTACTAGAAAATCTTTGCTTTTTCATAGAAATCATTTGCTGGGCACACTGGATTTCACAAGTTCAGAGTGCTGGGCTGCCTTCAATTTTTCTTAGAGCACAGCCTTGCAAAGGAAGGTAGGGTCAATAAAGACGCAAATATCCAGCCATCTTAACCTCACACCCGGTCAATAAAGCATAATAATTTATTACAATTTTATGGTTGAATCCGTGAGTGGGCAAGATGAAGCAAATCCTGTGTTCTAATTGGCTACTCAAGTGGGCAAACCAATCAAGCTTGTTAGGTGAAGATAGCTGGGTATTGGCCTCGCAAAAAAGAGCTTGGCCAATATCCAGGCATCTTGACCGAATGTTGGTCAATAACGCATAATCATTTATAACAATAATAGTTATTAGAACTTTGTGAACATCTTTTCCAGAAAGGCATTTTATATTGCTTTAAAAGGGCTAGGTTATGCCGTGCTATATTTTGTTCTTTGAGAGGCTTAAATGTGTCTTGGCTTAAATTAAGTTCCAAAAATAATGCTCCAGTTTTGTTATTTAAAACTTAATTGAGGCATTGGGACTGTTTCCCATCACCTCTTGCTATGTATGACAAAGATGATCATGGATTGAAACTTGGCCAACTTTTTCAAGGTTAAAATAATGCTGTGACTGCATAAATCACCAAGAATTATTATGGTTTGTGCTTCCTGATGAAATTGGCTTGATGCATGTATCTTCTTCATAACTCTACAAGTCAAGCATTTTGTGTAAGGGTAAAGACACTAAGAGCGCTTTCCAAAAGTCGGAACTGGCCAGCCGGACCATGGCTGGAGCAGTCATTTTGACAATGAAATAGC